CCTGAAACCCCCTTCCTTAGCATTTTGGGATTTTTTTCTTTCTTTTTTTCTTGTGTTGACATTTCTGTTTACTGTATGCTTTATCTCCTGTTTTCTTAATTATTCTCTTGTTTTGATTGAATATACTTTCCAATAGCTTCCTGAGAAGAGGTGCATGGGAAAATATGTGAAAATGTCTTCATTCTACTCTAATATTTAAACAATAGTTTAGCTGAGTGTAAACTACTAAGATGGACATATGTTTGTCTCAGAATTTTGATGGCATTTTGCCATTGCCTTTTTAAAAAACTTTTTTTGGTTATTTTCTGGTTTGTTTGTTTGAATCAGTGTTTCACTCTATTGCCCAGGCTGGAGTGCGGTGGCACAATCACAGCATCACAGCTCACTGTAGCCTGAAGCCCCTGGGCTCGAGCTGTCTTCTCATCTCTGCCTCCCAATTCACTGGGTCTCCGGTTGTGGGCAGGGGTGGGAGGTGTCACCACACCGGGCTAATTATTATTATTGCTTGTTTGTTTTTGAGTTGGAGACTTACTCTGTTGCCCAGGCTGGCATGCAGTGGCAGGCTCAAGGCCACCCCAGTGTCGACCTGCTGGGCTCCAGCAGTCCTTTCGCCTCAGCCTTCCAAATAGCGGGAACTACAGGCGCACGCTACCATGCCCAGCTAATTTTTTTTTTTAATTGTAGAGACAAGCTCTTGCCAAATTGCCCAGGCTAGTCTTGAACCGCAGTCTCAGGCAATTCATTCACCTTGTCCTCCCAAAGTGCTGGGATTACAGACTGAGCCACCGAGCCTGGCCTATTTTTTTTTTTTTTTTAGAGACAGGGTCTCACTATTTTGCCCAGGCTGTGGAACTCCTGGGTTCAAGCAATCCTCCCACGTTGGCCTTCCAAAATGTTGGGATTACGGACATGAACCACCCAGCCTAAAAAGCTTTTAATTTTGAAATAATTTTGTTTACAGAAGAGTTCCAAAAATAGTTCAGAGTTTTATATACCCTTCACCTGGCTTCCCCTGATGTTAACATCTTACTAAACCATGGTACATTTGTCAATACTAAGATATTCATATTGGCACACTACTATTAACTACAGACTTTAGTTATCTTTCACAATATTTCACTAATATCCTTTGCCTCAGGGCCAAATCTAGGACACTAGGCTGTATTTTGCCATTATCTGTCTTTAGTCTCTTCTAATCTGTGACTGTTGCTCAATTTTTAGAAATTTTTTAGAACTTTTGAAGAGCCACTGGTCAGTATTTTGTAAAATGTCCCTTCATATAGTTTGTCTGATGTTTTCTCATGTTAAGATTTGGGTTATGGGCCGAGCTTGGTAGCTCAGCCTGTAATCCAAGCGCTTTGGAAGGCCGAGGTGAGTGGATTGCCTGAGCCCGTGGGTTCAGGACCAGCCCGGGCAACTTGGTGAGACCTCATCTCTACAATAGATAAAAAGTTAGCCAGGCATGGCAGCGCATGCCTGTAGTTCTGGCTACTTGGAAGGCTGAGGCAGAAGGATCACTGGAGCCCAGAAGGTCAACGCTGGGCTGGCCGTGAGTGTGTCACCGCACTTCACCCTGGCAACTGAGTGAGACTCCAACTCAAAAAAAAAAAAAAAAGAGATTTGTTTTATGGATTTTGGTGAATAATTCCACAGAGGTACAAGTGTCCTTATCGCATCATATTAGAGGATGGGTGATATCAACATGACATATTGCTGGTGACGTTAACTCTGATTGCTTGGTTAAGATGGTGTCTGCTGAGTTTTTCCACTGTGAAGTAGTGAATTTTCTTTTTCAAGTGAGTCACTAAGTTTCATTTCCTTGAAGAAGACATATCAGATAATTAGTGGAAGATGTTAAAACCAGCACAGTAATTAATAAATATCTTGGGGGAGATATTTTGAGACTATGCAAATGTCTTTTTCTCTTTAAAGTTCTACCCACTAAGGTTAACTTTCATCAGTGAATCTCATCATTGCTTTTTAACCTCCAGTATTGCTGTCAGGAAATCCAAAGTCATCCTAATTTTCTGATCTTTGAGTTGGACAGTTCTTCTTAAGGAGGTTGTGGAATCTCATCCTTCTTCCTCTGTTCTGAAATTTCATAAAAGTATACTTTGGCAAGAGACTATTTGTGTTCATTGTGCTTGGCTCTCAGTGGGTCCTTTCCATCTGAAACTGAAGTCCTCTAATTTGGGAAACATTTTTTGAGTTGCTTCCTTTGATAGTTATTTTCTTCCCTCTCCTCTTTTCTGGAATTCTTAATATCGTGTATTGGACCTCCACAGCTGGTCCTCTCATGTTAAAGAACCAATCTGGGAAATCCACTATTCAAAAGAATTTTCTTTTTCTTTTTTGGGGGGGATGAGGGATGGGTTGGAGTCTCACTCTGTTTCCCAGACTGGAGGGCAGTGGCACGCTCTCAGCCACTTGCAGCCTTGACCTGCTGGGCTTAGGTGATCCTTCCGCCTCAGCGTTCCAAGTAGCTGGAACTACAGGCATGTGCCAGCATGCCTGGCTAATTTTTTTTTTTTTTTAATTGTAGAGATAAGGGCTCGCCAAGTTGCCCAAGCTGGTCTCGAACCTGCTGGCTCAGGCAATTTTCTCACCTCAGCTTCCCAAAATGCTGTGCTTATCGCCTGGCCCAAATACATTTTCTATTTATGTTTTTCTTCTGCTTTTTGGTATATTTCTCACCTTTGTCTTTCAACCCATCTGTCAATTGTTTTATCTCTGCTATTGTATCTGATTTTTTTTTTCATTATTTTCCTTTCTCTCTCTTAGGATGTTATGTGTTTTTCTGATGTTTTCTAAAAATTTCTTCTTGTTGCCTTGTGTGTATTTTTCATGTTGTGAGTCTTCTCAGATGTTTTGTAATCTTGATAACCTGCTCATAATAGGGTGGTTTGATGGGGAGTTTGAGGATGAAAGGGGCCTTTTGGCTGTGAGCTTCCTTGTAGGGTGATCTGACTAGGTTGCTTCTTTCGGGAATATCTGAGTTATGCCCTGGAGACATCACATTTTCCAAAGAAAGATCCTTCATTTTCCTGCGTGGATGGTGAGGCCCTGGCTGCCAGTATTGTGGGAGTGAATTGCAGGAAGAAGACAAGAGGGTCTCAGGGGCCTGCATTCACATTCAAGAGGGTCTCAGGAACCTGCATTCACATGCTCACTGTGTGAGTTTTCAGTACCACAGCACTGCCATGTGTTCTTCAGGTCAGCAATTTTGTGTTTTACTTCTCTACGGAGTAAACCTCTAGTGTTTTGTCAGGTAAGGGAGAGTTTGACACCTGGCCATGAGAAATAGAGGAAGAGATCTAGGTATCTGACTGCTCCTTAAACAGATTTTCTATTTATTCTTCTTAAGGTATTGCTTTTTCCTCCCACTTCCTATCTGGAAGTAGAGGACTATCTGGCGCCTCCTTAGCCTTCAAGGTTCTGCAATGCAAAATACTATTTCTCTGCTCACACTCCGGCTGCCTTATGACTCACTTTTTGTTTATTTTTTAAAAAATCTGTTAAAGTGATTTACTACTTTCTCACCTGCTTTCCGGTTTCCAACATTCTATTTCTCTGCTGCCCTATTCCATTCTCACAATTCTTACAGATTAATACCTTTCAAGAACAATCCTTTTACTCTCATTTTAATACTGTTTCTTTGCTTTTTATTTTATTTATTTATTTTTTTGAGTTGCAGTCTCACTCTGTCACCCAGACTGGAGTGCAGTGGCCGTTCCCGGCCACTGCAGCCTTGACCTGCTGGGCTCCTGCGATCCTTCCACCTCAGCCTTCCCAGTAGCTGGAACTACAGGCGCGTGCTACCACGCCCAGCTAACTTTTGACTTATTTTAGAGATGAGGTCTCGCCAAGTTGCCCAGGCGGGTCTCGAACCCGTGGGCTCAGGCAATCCACTCACCTCAGCCTCCCAAAGTGCTGGGATTACAGGCTGAGCCACCTTACAGGAGGGAATGAAATTGGGTGTGTCTTCAGTCTGTTGCTCTGGAGTTTGACTGTCTGTCTTTCCCGTTTGTCTCTCTTTTACTTCATTCTTTTTTCCTTCTTCCCTTCCTTTCTTCCTTTCTCTTTTAGAAAATTATTGAAAAGCCACATCCTGAACTCGTAGGCCATTGTGAGGACTTGGACTTTAATTTGTAATGAGAAGGGCTGCTGAGTGTAGACTGCAGTGGATCAAAGGTAGACTTAGGGAGCTAGTTAAGGGATTGTGAAAATAAACTGAGACCAATCATGGACCAGCTCATGGTAACAGAGGTCTGTATTAAAGTATTTTCATGCTGGGAGCTACTATTATTGGTATTGTTACTTATAGGGATTATAATTGTTGGGTGGAAGCATCTTAGTCCTGGAGACAGTTGAGCGTAGTGGAAATACATTAAAAACAAGGGATTAGCTGTAGCATGTGACAACATAGATATAAGAACAATGCGTGGTAGGAAAGCAGCAAATGGAATGAGATACATAACATAACATATGAATAAATTAAAAATAAACATTTAGAAAATGAGAACACATTCTACAAAAAGTGTTCAAATACACATACATGTAAAGACAAAGAACTGTATTAAACACATTAAAATGCTTGCCTAAAATGAGATAGAGGGGAAAAGGAATAAATAAATAAATAAATAAATAAATAAATAGCAAGAGGAGGAGGGGAAAGTTTTAGACTCCGAGGAGAACCGAGTTCAATCTTAGGCAAATTGTTTGGGATAATTTACGTAACTTGTTTGTGCCTTGGTTCCCACCCCTGTAATATGGGATAGTAGTACCTATTTGATACACTTGCCATAAGAATTAAGTGGCTGGCAGAGTGTCTGGTACACAGAATATTCTCAATGTTACTTTCTTTCCCCTTCAACTCTAAGGAGTGAAGATACTTCCTTTAGAACATGTGTGTGCTGGGTCAGTTATTGTGAGATGAGAACATGGGAATTGTGCTTCCCTGGCATATGTTTTTAATCCATTTCTTCTTTCTCTTAATGCAGGGCCTTCCACCCAAAAGATGGAAGGCAGAAGACACCCACCTGAGTTGCCCAGAGCCTACAGTGTTTGCTTTCTCACCACCCCAGGCTCCACGTCGGAGTTCTTTGCGAGAGATGTGGATACCAAGCTTTGAACAATCCAAGAAAGAAGCCCAGGCCCTAAGGTGGCTGGTCAATAGAAATCGAAATTTTTCAGCTCAAGAGTTTTGGGCCCTAGTATTCAAGGACTAATTTCAAAAAGTATCAGAATGCCATAGACTAGAGCCTTCTTGAGGTTGATTTTCTAGGTTGCCTTAATATTTGAACGTGCTAGCTATTCTATTGACTATCTAGTAGGGTAAGAATCAGTTGCTGCAGTTCTCATAATGAGCCCTATCAAAGATTAGATATGAATTACCCTTAGGCGTTGCCTCTATATTTTTTATACTAAAAAAAATATATTTCTTATGGATACTGATCATCTTCCATTTACACGTCTGAACCTACATACTTGCTGCCTTTTGTGGAAATGCACCTAATTTAGAGTAAGCACTTTCCTTCTAGCTGTGGATTCTTGATATTCACCTCACTCTCAACAGCTTATTGGTATTTGGCAAGCCCAGTGTCCCAATGCTGAGCATGAACATGAAATGCATTAGAACTTGGCAATGAGAGATCCCATCTGTTGGTTTCCAGGGACATAAGTCAGTAATAAAAACTCTTTCAAGCTTATCCACTGTCTACTCAAGTCAAAAGAACAAGTGCACGTCTACCTTCTTTTCCATACCCTCAGCTACCTCCCTAATCTTCTTTAGTTACACCTTGCCCTTTGGCCTCTCGTTTCCCCTCCAGAGTGGAATATCTTGTAAAGACATGACTCTTCCTTGTGTGCTTTGATCAGTGAGATGTTACTGATTGTCCCTTATACTGCTGAGCAGAATAATAAGAATTATATAATTCAGGGTAGACAGCCTGTACATTTGATCAGCATGAGAGTAAAAGTACGTGCCCCCAGAAACTCTAATTGTGCTGAAGCTGATTTGTCTCTTCTTGGGATTATGCACAGACTGTCATGGTGGGTAGCCACAGGCATTCTTCAGCTTGTGAGCATTTCCTGTCATTTCTGATCCTGCCACAGAGAAGATTCAGCTGTCTTGTCTAGGACATCTGTTGGGGCTCCACAAAAAACAAGGAGGAACACACTGGTTCACATTCCCTTTCCATGTGAGGGCAAGGAAGCTTCTAGATGACATCAATACCTATTGCCACCTATGTGTCATGGCTTCCATATTCTTTATTATGAACTGATGCAAGCCTTAGAGAGCACTCAGAGAACAGGAAGAGTCTCTGATGTATATGTCCATGATGTGATATAATGAGGAGACAGCAGTTGTCCCTTAGCACCAACTCCCCTTCCATTGAAGGCCAAGACCTTTGATGTGCTCAGCAGTGAGCAGTGTCTTCTTTTGTAGCTCTCTAAGGCTGGGCCAGTCAGCATGTGTGAAATGAGGACCAAAACCCATACCTTCTTTTAGAAGCAAGAAGGGTTACATTGCTGTGTAGAAGAAGGTGTCAATAACTGGGTTCTCCCTAATCCCAGCTTTGCCATTAACTAAATATGATCTTGGAAAAATCTCCTAGCCTCCATAGGCCTTAGTTTTTGCAGCCAAAAAGAAGTGATTGGGCTGGTCTTTGAAGTTGTTATTTTTTTCTATGTAACATTCTTAATTGTTTATCAACATTTAAGAAGTTTATTTTAGTAAATGTTTTGGCTAAGATGGTAATAAACTATTTTAGAAGTGCTGTATACTATTCAAGGGAAACATGCTCTTTCTAGGAAATAGTATGCTTAATGGGTAGTATTAAGGATGGAGGGGAATTTATTTCTCTTCCATTTTATTTGATAATAACAAAGAAGTAAGTGCCAGAAAGGGGAATTATCTTAAAGGTCAGATTTTGAATTGTATATTAAATGAAGAGGTTTTGTGTTTTGTTTTGGAACACTCAAAAGAAAGCCTGAGAGATGATTTATGCCTCTGGCAAGATATCATCATGGTAGTTTCAATTCTCCTCCATAAATGCCTTAAGCAAAAATACATAGTGCTTATCTGAAATCTCAGTATGTCATTCAGTCTTATTTCCATCTTAGTTCTTCATCAAGAGTTCATAGATAAAATCTTCTCTAAAGTTTTCTTAAGTATGTGTCTATGAACAAATTTAGTAAAATAAAATTGTTCATCATTTAATGCAGTATAAAAACGTTGTGAGGGAGGAAGATCAAGAAGAGGGAATTCTATGGGATTACAAATAGGGTGTATTTCAAAGAAAACAAATGACAGGTTCTTTGGTACTCTTTGAGTTCTCATAGATTTGAGACTATTTTTTTGTTTAGCATATGCTTCTTCTGTAATAGAGTTTCATTACTAAGATGATGCCATCTTGCCTCTGACAATTGCTGTTGTGGAGTGAGAACTGTGTCCTCATTGTTGCAGCACTCTTATCTGCAAAATGGGAGGTACACTATTTGAATTCTATGGCAGGCCCCTCAGTGCACATTGTCTATGTTGATCCCATCATGCCACACCTTTCTCTTTACCTCACTGTCTCCATTTGTGAAATACAATGAAGAAAGTAACCTACCTCACAGGGTTGTTGTGAGGAATGACTTATGGCTGTGAAGATGTTTGTACAATGTAACATTTTATTTAGTGTTCAGTACATTTTATGTGGATTGTTCTCAAGGACTAGTTTGCAAAGCAATATGACAAAATGGACAGAAACCCTTTCAGAAATGTTGGAGAAGATGATTACTAATGCTAGTCAATAGTCTTCACTTCTTCACCTAAAAATAGATGCAACTTTGACCTTGAGTCATGTAGCAAGTATAATATTTCAGAACTTGAATGGTGGCTAGCTTATTTGTTGATGTTAAGGACTAGATTCTAGTAACTAGAATATCATTTGGGGTCATTATTATTTGTAGTAGCACATTGAATGCATACAGTGTTTTATGTACTACTCCAAAATAAAAGACATTAACAAAAGCAAGCATCATTCCTTCAGTTGCGTATTGTATATTACACATAATAGAATGAGTTGAGTCTCTACATAATAGTGTATGAATTCAAGCACAGTGCAGACCTGAATCTGAAATGCCCCGTGTAATATTGTGCATTTACAAAGTCATTAGTAGGACATAATTTCTGCTAAAGATGACAATTCATTAAGAGAATTCACTGTTAGTCTGTTTAGGCTACTATCACAGAAAACTATAGGCTGGATGGCTTATAAACAACAGAAATTTATTTCTCACAGTTCTAGAGCTGGGAAGTCCAAGATCAAAGCACCAACCGATTTGGTGTCTAGGGAGGGGCCTGCTTTCTGTTTCATATATGGCCATCTTCTTCCTGCGTCCTTACCTGGCAGAAGGGGTTAGGGAGCTCTCTGGGAATTCTTTTTTAAAATTTATTTTATATTTTTATTTTTGAGTTGGGCTCTTACTCTGTCACCCAGGCTGAAGTGCAGTGGCACAATCATGGCTCATCACAGCTTCAACTTCCTGGGCTCAGGCAATTCCCCTGGGTTAGCCTCCCAAGTAGCTGAGTCTACAGGTGCATGCCACCAAACATGGCTAATTTTTTTTGTAGAAACAAAGTCTAGCTATGTTACCCAACTGTTCTCAAACTCCTGGACTTAAGCAGTTCTCCCTGCTTGGCCTTCTATATTGCTGGGATTACAGGCATAAACCAGGGATTTCTTATAAGGGAACGAATGCCATTTATGAGGCTCCACCCGCATAACCTAATCAGCTTCCAAAATCTTCACTTTTCAATTACATCGGGGGTTTGCAAGTCAGTGTGCAAACTGTTAGGGGCACAGATATTCAGTCTATAGCATTCTGCCCCTGATCCCCCCAAATTCATATCCTTCTTACATGCAAAATATATTCGTTACATCCAAACAACCTCAAAGGTCTAACCTATTTCAGCATCAACTCTAAAATCTAAAACTCAAAGTCTCATCTAAAGGTCTTCTAAACCAGATATGGGTAAGATGCACAGTATGGTCATCCTGAGGCAAATTGTTCTCCAGCTATGAAGCCAAACAAGTTATAGTTTTCTAAAATATAACAATGATGGGTCAGGCATTGGATAGACATTCTCGTTCCAAAAGAAAGAAGTGGAAAAGAAGAAAGTTCCCAGGTAAGTCCAAAACCTAGTGTGGAAAATTCTATTAGACTTTAAGAATAATCATTTTTGACTCAGTGCTCCAGGATCTCCAGGGAACTCCTCCTGCTCAAGGAGCTCCAGGATCACTGAAATGGCAACATGGCTTGGTGGGACAACCCCACAGTGACTATTGCACCCCCCCCCATGTCTCAGTTCTTTTGGGCTAGGGTCTTGCCCCCTGACTCCAGGTGTCTCTGTCCTTTGTACCTATGTGGAAGCAGCTATGTCACCCAGTTCTGTACATACTGTGTCAGTAGAGACTGCACTGTAAGGATGCTACAAAACTTTGCTACCTGTGGAGCAAAAAATTGCCCTATGGAGGAGCAGCCATTGTGGCCTGTTCTGCGCCAATGGTTCACTGAAGCTGCACCTGGGGAGTATGATGCTGGGTGCAGTGAGTGAGGCCTATGATGTGAGACAGCAGGAGCAGCATAGGCTAAGGTTCCACAGGAGCCAGTGGTTTTTCCTTTGAAACCAGTCTTCTCCCCCCATCGCCTTTCCTTGTACTCTAGGTCTGTGGTAGAAGTGGCAGCTCTGATGATCTCTAAATCACTTTGGGGGTAATTTTTTTTGTCTTGGAGAATAGCTTCTGGCTTCTTTTGAGATGGCTAATCCATACCAATCTCCTTATCACTTGGCCACACCCTTAATGTTCTCACTTATTGCAATATGGTTAGGCTGAAAATGTTTCAAATTTTTAAGTTCTTTTTTGCTTAGCAATTTCATCTCTAAGTCATTTATCTCTTTTCACATTTCATTATAAGCAGTCAGGATGAGCCAAGCTTCACCTTCAACACTTTGCTTAGAAATAGCTTCAGTTAAATATCCAATCTCATTGCTCACAAATTCTTCCATCCACAATGCCCTAGAACATGAACAAAATTCAGCCAAGTTTTTTGTCACTTTATAAAAAGGATCACCTCTTCTCAACTTTCCAATAACAGGTTTATTATTTCCATCTGAGACTCCATCAGAATGGGGTCATATTTCTACCACCATTCTGTTCAGAATTGGTGAGGAATTCACCAAGAAAATTGAGGCTTTTTCTACAGCTCTCCTCTTTTTGGGGGCTCTCACCAAAATATCCCTTAACTGTTCATAGCAATCTCAGCTTTTTCTAGCATGCAGCTCAAAACTTCTAGCCTCTACCCATTACCCAGTTCCAAAGCCACTTGCACATTTTTAGGTATTTGTATATCAGCACCCCACTCCTGATACCAATTTCTCTCTTAGTCCATCTGGGCTGCTATAACAGAATACCAAGGACCAGGTGGTTTATACACAACAAAAATGTATTTCTCATAGTTCTTGAGCCCAGGAGGTACAAGATTACAGTGGTAATAGGTTCAGTGTCTGGTGAGAGCCTGCTTCCTGACTCATAGGTGACTGTCCTCTTGCCATGTCCTTACATGGCAGAAAAAGTGAAGGAGCAGTCTGAGATCTCTTTTATATTTCACCCTTACAACCTAATCACTTCGTGAAGGCCCTACTTCCTAATGCCATCACAGCAAGGGTTGGAATGTCAGTATATGAATTTGGCAGGGGAGAGAAAAACATTCAGCCTATCACACCAGTATAAAGTTAATGTTTAGTGAGTGATGTTAACTACACTAAAAGCAAGATGAGTGTAATGTTACTTACTGCATAAGTGACTATGTCTTGCTTGGAAGCTTCAAACAGACCAAGAATAGTAGTGGTTAGTTTATGTTTCAAGCCACTTTGCAATCCTGAATATTCTTCAAAGAACTTTCTTACCCTTATTTAAGAAATGTATTTCCCTTGTTTTAATTTTTGTTGTTAGTGGTAGTGTGGTTTACTACATATTTTAATATCAACATATATATTATTTTCTTTTGATTAAGGATGTAAACATGTTTGAAAAACCCAGAAGGCTATGGAATTATGACTAGAGTAAGAAAGACCCAGTTTAATTGCCACCCTGAAATTTACTATCTTTATTATCTTGGTCAAGTTAATTTGGGCTCTTTAAACTTCAGTTTACTCACCTGTAAGATGGATATTGTAATATTCAACTTCTCTGTGAGTTTATGGTGATGATTAAATAAGCTATTATTGATATTTAGCTTAATAAATGCTGGCAGTAGTGGTTAAGCTATCTGTAGTAATTACCTTTTTGTTTTTGAAGACCTTGATTGAGATTTGTTCAGAAAAAGGGAATAATTTATGATATTGCCAGGGGCAATGTCCTTTTGTTCTTTATTAATTTTTTGATACATAGTTATTATGTTAGGAAATAGGCATTGTAGTAGGCACCATTGCTGTTATGAATAAGACATAGGAGAGAGCAATGTGAAGGGTTCTGGGTAGGGCTTTGAGATATGTTGGTGTTAAAACCAGAGACTGCAGACTAATCGGTTTATTCTCTGTCTTTCCCCACCCTCCATGGGATTTCTGATGGAGTTTTGCACAAAGCTCCCAATAGTATAATGAAACTCAAACAGTCTCTTTATTGTAGTTGTGTGCAAACCAAATAAGCCTAGTGTGCTGATTTCTGGTAAAACCTGGATTTGAACATATGATTTAGTGAAACCTAATTAGGGTAGGATATTTTACTGCCTTTCTATTTCCTAATTCTGAATTTTGGGACCAGTTTGTTCAATGTACCTATACTAGGAAAGAGGATGGGGAAATGTTCAGGTCTGTAGGTCCTGACCCTGCTTACTCATTAACTGAAGATCAACTAAAGAAGAAAGAAAAGAAGAGGAGCCTGATCAGCCCTTCTGCTTGGCGACAAGGCCTCCCTTGCTCTCCGTATAATATGGATGCAAAGATACGGAATACAGAACATGGGAGCTTACTTTTAAGTCATATTAAATGTTCTCACTAGTAAAATTGGCCACATCAGTATCTTGGAATTCAACCCATTAAATTAGCAACCCCACTGGTGTTGTGGTAGGCCTTATTGAAGAGACCGGCAAGGAACAGAGGTGTGGGAAGGGGCAGGAGGAATAGACTCTTCAGAATTATTGTCCTCTCAACTTTCTAGGCTTAAAAGCCAAGCCATGTGATTAATCAGAGGTGTGACTGTGTCCCTAAGAGAATGAAACCAGTCATGAGCAACAGAGACTTCCTTTTAGCTTCTGGAACTTTTTCCTTGATACTTACACTTGCTCCTCTGTATCCTCCTGAAAAGTGGCATGAGCAGTTCAGTTATTGTCTCTGAAGCCTCTGAAATGAGTCAGAACTGGACACTGATTAATGTCTCCAATGGCATTTTGGGCATTAGGCCAAAATTTTATTCTTTATTTTATTTCCCATGCAAACTATAACCACATCATCCAACCCAGCTCACAGAAAAGAGTATACAACTAGCCCAAATAAATCATTATGAATATTCAAAAGTTTACTATTACAAACTCTTTAATTTAAAAAATAGATTAAATAGGTAATTAAATTTAAAACCCATTACTGTAGGTAAGGAGTGATATTCATGGTTTTGAGGTAGTATATTATCCCAAGAGCTTTTGGAATGAATGAAACCTAAGTTGCTTCTTAAGTTACTTCTTATGTATACAGAATAAACTCACCTGATGAGTCCACTCATAGGGGAAAAAAAGTCAAGTTTATGAAAGGATGCCCTTAATGAAGTAATAAAAATGACTTTTATTGAACATTGACTCTTGAGTACAAGTCTTTGGTAATATTCTGTGACAAGTGAAATGCACATATCTTAAATGCTTCATTGGATGAGTTTTAAAAATAAGTACACTAGTGCAACCAACCCCTTATCAAGAAACAGAAGGCTCACGCCTGTAATCCCAGTACTTTGGGAGGTAAAGGCGAGAGGATTGCCTAAGC